TATCATAATTCTAGAGCTGAGTTGCTTATGATGGAGAGAAAAAGACGGAAAAAGGCCGAGAAAAGAAGTAAGAGAATACACCGAGTCTTCTGCTACATCTCAAAACACTCTTTTTAGAAGAACGCGAAAGAGCACAACGAGAAGCATCAGCTATGGAGAAATCACAATAATTTGTTAGTATCCATGAAATATGATTGTAGATAGTGGTTGCATTTTACCCATGTTATAACAAGGTCTCTTTATGTTCTCATAAATGCTTATAAACAAACCATCGTTTGAATTTTTTACAAATTCTGCTCAACAAACCATTAGATAGGGTAGCACAGATCTGAATGATTTTATTTCTGGTTTTTCGCAAAATGTTTGGGAAGGAGGAGGAGTAAAATGCGCATACAAAAATCAACAAAATGTGGGTTGTAGTAAGATGGCAGATGAGACTGTAACGTTATCAGAGTTAGAGTAACTTCTATATTTCACCTTGATTTCCTTGTCTACTTCAAATGGTCGATCTGGTAGCTCAATTTGAAACCCATATGCTCCAACGTTGAAAATTTTAAACTATTCTTTTACAACAAGTTTAAAACGCAATTTTCAAGGTATATTACGACTTCTGAACGAGTTTAAGTGTCATCATAGCACTGAAACCTGTTTACTATGAACAACGATCACTAGACCACGTGGTCGTCATTCAAAGTTGTGTTGTTGTGTTCAGTAACTGTGATAATCAGTGGCTGAATTTTGTTGCCAAGATTCATGATAAGTGTAAAGACATAGTGTTGACTGTAGGTAAACAATTGAAGAAACAATGATCACTGGCGATCCTAGAATATTCAAAGTTGGCATTTGGAAGTCTCTTCATGTGGTGGTAAGACAGAAGATTAATGGTTGAACGATAAGTTTGCATAAGACGAGCAATTTGTTCGTTTGTGCTGCCTACTGTAAACTTACTCTGTTAGAGTTATGAATCCTCTCTAAAACTTACTACGGGGGTTGCTGTGGTTTGCTCCATCTGTTCTTTCCTTTCATCCTATATCCAAGTGGATTCTGGTGCATCTTCTGTAATTAAGGAGTCGCGCTCCATGATAACTACCGTAAATTTGGTATTTGG